CTCTTCCTATTAGATCTAATTAGTATAATGTAATCAGTTTCATAAACAGTGTGACTTCTTCTAGAAGGGAAAGGTGAGCAGTGTCCCTTATTATAAAAACTGTTGGACTATTGATGCGCCCTTGAGGTTGGTCTGTGCAAGTATATTTCTGACTTTTTTGATTATGAAATTAAACTGTCCTGATGTTGCTTTAAAAGAGATATTGAGAAAAAAACATAGCTTAGTAGCTACATACAGTCATCAGGAGATGTGTTCATTTATCCAGCAAGGAAATCATGTCTAGAGCAGCAGCTGTGACTAAAGCTGTTACCTGTTTAAATTTGCAATAATTGACCGTCATTTAAAAGAAATAAAAAAATCTATGCTTTCCCTCCTCAGGCCAAATAGGTAGGTTGGATAGATAGGTGCTTATCTTTACTTCATCTCTCAAATCCTTGGTCAAGCAGTAATCTCTGCAGATCTCTAGGAATATGACATTTCTTTTTTGTTTACTGTTTTCTTAGTAAACTATATAAAAGCCATTTGAATGGCTTTCATATAGCTTTTCATACTATAAGAGCCCTTACTTATTTGGTAGGAATATAATACGGAGTTTCTTTCAAAAGCTCTGTGGCTTCGTGTGTCAAGTAGTTGAGCTGTCAACCCACATGCACATGGTTCAAATGTACCAACTTCCTTGCAGGAGAAAGATAAGCCTTTTCTTCCCGTGCAGTTTACTGCCTCTGGAAACTCACTGGAAGGTCTACTTTGAGTCAATTCTTACTTGACAGTACAGCAACAACAATAATACTCATTTGTTGGATATGCTTCTTCCAATTATAGATTCTGAAGCTGGGAAAATCATAATATGGTAAGCCCAGGTACCTGGAGGACCCAATGTCAGCTGGACCTGAGCTAAGATCCAGTTAATAAGCTGACCTCCATATGCCCCTACTCTAACTGATGGGCCAAGGTGACATTTTGGGTCGCCTGGATTTAGTGTCAGTTCAGAGCCAGTGTCCAGTAATCTAAAAAAAAAAATGTAAAATCTGATGATTTACTTTCCCTAGAGAATAGTCAGTTTGGGGAAAGCTAGGAAATAAAGATTAACAGTATACATTTTTAGCAGTACAGTGGATTCCTTTCTAAAGAGGACTTGACCTTTCTTTTACTCAAGGGGTTATGGGTTTGTAAACTTGATTTTCACTCTGCAAGTTCAAGTTCACTTGACCTGAAATTCCTCTGCTTGTAAATTTAGTAGGTGCTTTATTCATTTCGCTACTAAGGATACCATGATTAAGTAGTCAGTGCCATAAATTTAAATGAGTGAGATTTTGATTACTGCTTTAATCCCACTGTACGTTTCAGTAACTATCCTTACCTCACCTTTGTCAAGTAAATGTTACAACTTGGCCCCTCCCTTTAAGGGGTCCAATCAGCTCTATTGTGGTTATTATATGTGGTAATTCTGTTAAAACCATTTTCACTGTCAAATATGAACAATCCCAGCAATCTTCAAGGATGCTGGGCTCCCTTCACAAGTTTGCTCTTCACCGTTGTTGGTGAATCTGTGAGTCCAATCTGGTAAATCTATCCTTTCTGCCAGTTTCTGTTAGTCTATTAATATCTTCCTCTACAAATAACAAGGCAGGTTTGATACTTCAACTGACACCTAATAACACCACCACCACCACCACAATAAATTCAGACTTACCCAACTTTCTTTCCATTGCACCATTCTTTTGCACCGTTAGTAGCCTTCCCAAGCACATTTCTGCTGTTTCTGTTTGTGTACATTATGGAAAAGAAGCCACTCTTTGGAGTGTAGTACTTTTCCTCCTTAGTCACAATTCATACTTTGCCTTTTAGAGCTCTCTAGGTGGCTTAGGGATAAGGCGTTGTGCTGCCAACTCAAAGGCTCTCAGTTTGAGTTCCATGGGAGAATGATAGGTGGTATCCTCCCATGAAATTTAGAGCCTCTGAAAATTTGCTGGAGGGTTACCCATGAGTTAGTTCTGACTAAAAAGCACTCAACAATGACATAAACCTAACTGCAGTTATAAGTCTAGAAGCACAAATAAGTGGTAGGGATGGCTGCTGGTAGCATTCAACAAAGTCTTACGAAGCATTTGCCCAGAAAACACCCTAGGCACCATCTCGGACTTTTCAGGTACAGCTGCATTAATCTCATCAAATGGGAATGGGGGTGAGAATGGTTTTCCAGGAGAGGGTGGTTTATCAGATAGAGTAATTTCTTCAGAGGGGAGGGGAGGTGGTGTTTGTAAGAGTGCAATGTATATTTAAATTCAACAGAATTTAAGGGCACAGTTTTCCTATCAACCTGATTACCTGCTTATATATTCCCATCTCAGGATTTAGGAATATGTTTCTTTCCACTTGGTGCCTTCATTAACTTCAGACACCATTCACAGTTGGGAGTTCAATTGATACCAAAAAAACAGCCACTCTTACAATGACTCTGGGTTTGGTTTTCGGTATTATCAACTTTGTTACTATAAGAAATAAGGCTTGCTTTCAGGTCATAAGTGATAACCTTTGGATATTATTATGGTGATGCTTGAATTGAGCCTGTGAAGACCTGAACCTAACTCTTTCTGTCACTACTTTTATGTAGCAAAAGTAGGACCAACTCACCAGCTTCCTTAGATTTCTCATCTAACTAAATGGTAAAAAAAAAATACTCAATATGCAATCATCTGGAGCCTTCTCTCTCACAAATACATGATCTGTTGTTGCTTGCTGTTGTGTACCATCAAGTCAGAACTGACTCACAGCTGACTCTCCTATGGGTTTTTAGAAGCAGTAAATTGCCCATCTTTCTGCTGTGGAAAAACTGGTGGATTTGAACCATACGCTTTTTGGTTGACAGCACAATTCCTTACCACGAAACCACCAGAGTTCCCTATGTAATCTATTAATGGTGATATTTTGCTTATCTCTGTTGCCACCTCACGCATTAGCAGGGTCCTTTTGCACCACCAGACACAGAATCATCCATGGTTTTAAGATTAACTAGACTTGGCAAACAATTTAGAAATGTCATTCTTACAATTTTGTTTCTCTACAACCACTCCTAGTACTAAATGTTTTTGGTTGGTTCTGTAAGAACTGTAAACTCAAATCTCAGTGCTATCAAATTGGAAGTGATCCAAAGTTTTTGAGGTTATAATTTGTATGAAATAGATTGCTTGTCTTTCTCTCTCAGAGACACTGGTGGACTCAGACTGTCAGAGAGGTCCAGCCTTTGGGTTAGTGCAGCACCCACTGACTGTGTCACCAGAGCTCCCTTCTAGAAATAGTCTCAAGGAAATGGCTCACATAGTTATGGAGGCTGGCAAGTCCCATATCTGAGAGCCAGGGGTCAGATTGTGGGGCTCTCCTGACTTAACACTATTGCAAGGCCCGAAGAACCCACAGTCAGTAGTTCAGATGACATTGGCTCACAGACCTGTGGAAACTGGCAGATTCCAAGCCTGGCACATCAAATGGCAGGCTATGGACTCCAAAGTATGCAGAAGCTGGTGAATCCTAATTGTGTACACTTCCTAAATAAAGTAATGCTTGTAAAAAAGGAGTTTTGTTTTAAGAAATATGTAGATTATTTCCTGAAATGCATCCCTTTGATGAAGGATGCTTAAAATTCAATGTGGGAAGAGATTGTGTAAGGCAGATATTTAAAGTGCACTTACTGGTCCCTTACCCTAGAGACACTGATCTGATGGGTCTACAGTTAGGTCCAGGAATCCCTACTGAATCCCTCTGCCCGACGATTCTGAGGAATATTGACCAAGATAATCCATGGAACAGTGTTAGGACCTTAAACTTGAATCAATGATTCTCCTGTGATACGTATTCTTAATTTTTTAAAAACTTCTGGAAAGTTTTCTTTGGGAGACATAGCAATATTCTCCAAAAGTTTTGCTTGGTTTTTGTTTTGTTGGATTTTTTTTAAAACGGGGTTGCTTATAATGACAGTGGAATTAAGTCATTCTAGAAGATCTCATTTAAAGATCATGGAAAGAATTTATGTCATGTTGTTTGGTTTGTTAGATACTTCATAAAATGTTGAGCATTTGTATTTTCTTTAATTTCAGATTGAAATGTGAACTAAGAACAGACATCTTCATATCTACATTTATTGGTTAATGATCTTAATTCATGCTTATATTATTAATGTCATCAACATTAGATAAATATTGTGTGATTGTCTTCTTTCCAGCCCTTTAATATTTGATGTACTTTAGAAATCAAACAATAAATGATTACTTCATACAAAGGATGAACTAAAGTTCTATAAAATTAGGCATTGCTCATAGTGCATGTGATTTGCATAGTATTATTCCTTATAAAACATGTCATGTATGGATAAGTTAATAAATGAACATTTTAATTTGAATTTACATGGGTTTTAGTCTTTACATTAGCAACACCTTTCAAGCTACATACAGAAGTTAAGGAGGGACCAGAAATAGTTTGGTTTTGAAAAGAACATTAAGAGCTAGAGTTTCCAAGACCCTATGTTGACTATTCATAAGCATTTATGTAACAATCATGCTATTATTACTTATTAGCTGTCTTTCTAAACAACCACTGGATAGTCTTTTGTAGAAGAAAGATTTGTCTAAAATCGAGATTACACTTTAGTATTCAGTTTGGTAGGGAATTGAGTGATCTTCTGCTCTCTGATTTGTGCTGTGACTTGGTCTGAATTCTTGAGACAAAGATTTCATAAGCAAAGAATGTGTTTTGCTGGGAAAGAGTTTTGCTCAATGGAACATTGTAAGCAGTGATGGCATAACCTATGGACTCAACAGTGGATCTAGTACATAGAATTGGTAGAGTTATGTCTGTGTGCTCAGTAGTACTGACATTGGCAACAAACTTAAAAGAATAACTGTTATTTTAGGATAGTTTTGTTCAAATTATGAAAAAAACCCCTAGTGGCCAAAGAAGTCATAGGTTCACATCTAACAGTCTTTTCCTTTTTGTCTCTTCTGCAGTCATCTCAACTCGAACTCCACCTCCGCCCTCACCGTTGCCATTTCCAACACAAGCTATCCTTCCTCCAGCCCCATCGAGCTACTTCTCTCATCCAACGATCAGATATCCTCCTCACCTGAATCCTCAGGATACTCTGAAGAACTATGTACCTTCTTATGACCCATCCAGCCCACAAACCAGCCAGGTAAAAACAAGATTAAAGCCTAAGGGATATGGAACAGGGCTAAAATTAAGGCATGGAGGTTAGTCAGACAGTGTTTGTCTGGCAGAACATCAAGCTTTTGAAAGCCATCTCCAGGAAGTGTCTCGGTGACTCAATAAGTTTTCATTTAAACGTGGCTGAATGACAGGTGGGAAGTGTGTTGCTGCAGAGAGGCATATTTGTGACTATGTTTTTTGGTTTGATGTTTTTGGATTTTCATTGATGGAAGAGAAAAATCTGTGCAGAAAGCACACTAACAAAAACGCTCTGAGCTGGAGTTCACACCTCTGCAATACCTGGTTTGACACAGAGACAAAAATGCTTATTTTAGGCAGGAGCAAGGTATGTGCTAAAATAAACACACACAAAAGAACTTACAGTTGTATTTATAGGCTAACTATTAGGCATTAAAATAAGCTTTGCTAATGTAAACATTTTCAATGTTTGATGACTACTTGAATATTCTTTGCACAGACATGACTACATTTAATAGTGAGTGACAGTGCTGGGAGCGTCTTTTTTTCTGCTTCTTCTTTTGTAAACATTGTGCAGTAGTTTTAGAGATCTATTGTGAATGTAGTGACTCATATGTATTTTTTTTACTTACCAGGGATGTGGTTCCTTCAATGGAGAAGGTTCACTTGTAGGGATTTGGTAACAAAAGTAGATAGGTAGTCTGTGACAGCGCTGGATCCATCAATGACTAAAATTGCCAAGATCAGTGTTAATATAAATTTGCTATTATGGTCTGGTATTTGACTTTGTTGCTTTACTTTCAAGACTACGGACCACTCCTTATTATGCCTTCTAATGCTTTCAGTTATGGGTCATTTCTGACTCAAATACACACAACAACAACAAGGCTTTGGCGATGTTTACAGACATTCTTTATTCGTGCTATTTATTTATTAAAATGACAGTAGTTAGGATGTTCATTTTCACCAAGAATTAAAAACAAAAGGCATCCAAAAGAGGCCCTTTAGTCCTAATGTAATTGTTAAAGTGAAAACAAAATGATCCTATCTAAATCCAACTCCTCTATTTTGACTAACACCATATCCAGCAATATTTGAGTTACTGCAAACATTCTTTTGACTTTTGGCACCATTGACAAATGCACAAAAACTCAGAGTGCCCGAGTTGAGGATTTGAAGTTAAACTTACTGTTTGTATTTTAGGAGAAAATATTCAAATGATCTTGGACTCTTAATAACTCTAATCAGAATGGCAGTTAAGTAAAATAGTCAGGTCTTAGTAGATCAGTTTAGAAATACATTTGCTGTTAGAGAGTATGGTTTCAAAAGTCCCTGTCCCAGAGAGCATTTTGTTAGACTCAGCTGGGAACAGTGCATACAAGGTCTGATTTTAATTTGTGTAGAATTTCCATGAATAACAAAGTCTAATTAAGGCATCCATTAAAAGTCCTTAACGTTAATTCAGGGTGGAAAATCTTAGCGTTCCATTGGATTTTTTTTTTTAAACTGATGTCTTAATTAGGCACTGTTAGGGGAAAAATTATGCAAATTAAAATCAGGCCCTTAGTGTTATGCATTTCTTTAATTATTCAGTGCTTGTTTTAAGTACATTTCAATTTCTTTGTAAGTTAAGAGGGCATATTAGGTGATAATCTTCCTATATTCTCAGTTTTTCTTCACTTTTTCAAGGTAAAGATCTAACTTCTAAGAGAAATATCTTAACTCTCATCTCATTTTTTTTTCTTCAAATCTCCTCTCAGGATTTTGTATAATAGCAGCAGTGTACTGAGTAGAATAATCCTTTCAAATGCTCTGTCAACTTCATCATCAGGTAGACCTTTCTCTTTCATATCTGCAGTATGAAAGCCCATCTATTAACGGACTTAAAAGAGAGAAGCTTTGTAGTGTAACTTCATCCATTTAAATTAGTAAAAATCTGAAGAAAAAGAACTTTCCCATTTTTTTCTGACCCTGAGATTTAAAAAGAAACACCACCAAAAAAACTCACCAAAACAAAACTTCTCTACATTGCCTGGGTCATACTTTGTTGGGTTACTTTATTATATTTAAATGAGAGAAATGTTTTTGTGGCTGGCTTGTGATTCCATTCCAGTGGACAAGGCTTATAGAATGGGCAGAGTATTATGCTGTGGCAGCATTTTTCTAGAAATTACTTTCATTCTGTTTGGGGAAACATTGTTTTCAGAAACATTTTTAATGACAGTGTTTCATGAGTGATAGAATGATACTTTTCTTCTCTGTTGCATAGAATATGTAAAGTAGTAATGTTCAGATAACTAGAAGTTGTTCCTTTGCTTTATAGAAACAAGAGATGTTCCCCCCTCCCCCTTTTAGAGGAAAAGTGGATCTTTATACTACAAGTTTGTTTTTGTAGAAACGTTATATCAGCTTTGGGTTGTTTTTTTGTTGCTTTTTTTTTTTTTTAAAAAAAACCTACTTAAAACCAATTAATTTGCATTTCCAAGTAGGACTCTCATAATTCACCTTTTCAGCTGTAGAAATGTAAGGAAATGAGCTGTAGTTCAACCTGTGGCCAAATGTTCCCTCTCAGCACCCTCCGTGCTGCACTGATTTTGATTGTTAAGTCAAGCAACTGAGATACCTTTTCCTTCCCACAGCAATTTAGAGATTAATTGCATTACTGCCACATGATTATGGTGAGACAGTCATGCTATTCAATGGACTATTTGAAATAAAATTAGTGTAAGGTATAACCCTCCCATAGGTTTCCGCCAGGGGAAAGTCTGGTCAATTTTCCTGACATAATGTTAAATACCTAAAATTGCCCATGATGAATGGTCACGATGTTTAAGAAGTCCGTTTTATTTCTAGAATAAATGAGTCGCTCTCTGAGGAACCCAGCCACTCATGGTTCTGAGTCACAGCATTTAAGTGTTACTTGTTGTTCATCCTCTTTTCTACAGAAATGCCCATTTGTAGTTGACATGCGGGTATTTAGACAAATATTGTGCTTCATTGCCCACTTTGCCTTGAACAGTTTGGATGATAAAACTAAATATTTGTGGGAAAAGTGTCCTAGCAAATTGTTGCATACACAGTGGTGTGGGGAATCCCAAAATGAGTGTTAAAAAAAATTATCTGTTTAGATAAATACATTCCAGCATTTCTTCCAAGCTTGTGCCTTCAGATTTGTTTTCTTACCAAGTGAAGTCTTTATTCCCAGGGACTAAAATATAGGTGATAGTGTCTTTTCTATCATTGACTGGGTGATTTTTCTGAGTAAATTCCTACCAGTGTTAACTGAGACTGCAGCTCACTCTCCTTATATAATAATGGAAGAGTAGCTTAAATAATACTTGTGCAAATGTGCTTGTTCTCTGTTTCAGTTATAAATACATCTTAATTTCCTTTCAAAATCTTTTTATCTTGGAGTTCTAAGATCAAGCATAGTTTGATGTTTTATGTCATTGTTTGGATCTGAAATTTCCAGAAGCTGTAAGCTCTCCTTCTGTCTGCTTATGTGAGTAAATCACCAAAGTTAAGTGGAGATCCAACACCCTAAACTGTCTGATGCTCGCGGTCGAGGATGCTTGTATGTGAGAGCAAGCTAAGAGTTGCTGAACACAAGAAAGTGGGCCTGAAGGATAAATAAGAGGACCTGTAGCACTTGATGTGTTTAATCTGCCAGATTGCGTATCATCCTTACTGTTTCAGAAGCAAAAATTGATTATAGGGAATGAAGAGCTGAGAAAAAGGAAGCATGGAAGTCTAATTCTAACTAGTTCAGTAAGGTCTACCATTTTAGCCTTAGGCTACGCATTTAGCTCTTCACTTGAGTTTTTTAAATGTGCCGAGTAAAGGACCAGGTATACATGATCCTCGGTCGTGGCAGAAGGGATGAAGTAACCTGTGCATAGAGCCTTAGATGGAAAAACTTACCTTAAATGCTGTTGATTCTTAACCACTACTAACCGTTGACTGTCCCCTCTGCCTTGAACTTGAGAGAGGACCATGTGATGTCGCATCCACGGTGCAGGGACTACTCAGCAGAGTATGTGGAGTCGAGTTGCTGGAGATGATGACTGTCTTTTGGATCGTTTCACCCGACGTTCTGTTTTTGTTTTTTAGCCTAACAGCAGTGGTCAAGTGGTAGGGAAAATGCCTGGCCATTTCACGCCTGTCTTGGCACCCTCTCCCCATCCCAGTGCAGTGCGACCTGTGACCCTGACCATGACAGATACTAAACCCATCACTACATCCACTGAAGGTGAGGCAGCTTCACCCACAGCGACCAGTAAGTATTTGTCTAGGAAATGAGAAATGTCCATCGAAGTCCCCATTGGATATCTGATCCAAGGTGGAGAACACGGCAACTTTTCCAGCTACCCCACCAGATGGAGATTTCTCATTTATGAGGAGCAGGCAGGCATGTCTATGGCCTGGCTCCCACATGCTCTCTCTCGTCAAATTTCACTCAGTGTGTCATATTTGAAAAGAGAGAAGCTTATTTAGTTGAGTAAACAGCTATTACAAAATAATCAGTCATGCCTGCCTGTTCAAGGTATACATCTACATTGCACTGAATAACAGAACAGTGTACAAGGTTTTTATATCACCCAAAGAGAGATTAGATAATTGTTACTTATTTGAACATTCCTATAGAAATCGGTCCCTTCACCAGCCAGACTGAATCAGTGCCTCTGTGAGGTAATTACATGTTTACATTACTGTAGGTTATGTCATTGTTAGAAACAGTCACACCACAGTGGGGACAGGCAGGAGCATTTCAAAGCTGAAGACCAGGCACATACAGAACTACCTGCTCTCATTATCTGTGACTCTTTTAACTTATTGATCATTTTTCCCATCATCATACATCAGAGACTGTGCTTTTTCAGTGTGGCTATGACATTTTACATCTGAGAGATGAATCCAGCGTGCTTACATCGTGCATACACTCCTGAGCCAATGAATGCCTTTTCTTCAACATGTTAGAATACATAGACATATACAGGGCACCAATCTTACAGGGCTTTTTCTAAACTAATGGCTTCTTAGAACTGGAGCTTGTGTGTACAAACTGGCAGGCACAAGGACTCCATTCGGGAGGAATTAACACATTCTCTCTCAAATTGCACACATCCTTTCAATCTAGAACAGTTTTCTTTCCTGGAGCAAGAAAGTCCCCATGCTCTAGAAATTTCTCTGTGGAGCTCCAGAGGCACTCAGAGACACCATTGGGCTTGGCCTTTCATCTTTCCTGGTCATTGGGAAGATCCTATTTTTGTGTGCGTGTGGCTTCTGTAATATTAGGGAGGAGCCCAGTATACCACCCCCCCCCCACTCAGGTGAGCTGTGCTTTGAGTGTACAGTGAATTCAGCACCTTCTTTCCTTAAAATGAATAAACTCTCATAGATTAATAAATCCATAGAGGCCTGTGAAGAATCACTGATTTTCAGTAATACGATTATTACAGAGAGTGCTGTACTAGTGATACTTCCCACAATTGCTAAGACCCAGTCAAGGAGACTGCTCTTTTGTTCTAATGATTGCCTAAGAACATTGCAGTCACTAAAACAATATATCCATGTTTTCAAGTAATGCCTTTAATCTCCAGACAAACAAGTCAGCACTTGGAAGAAAAATTAGAAAAGAAAGATTAAAGTTGTGCACACACATACACGACACAGTTAAACAGGACAAGACTATCATAAGATAAATGGTTAAAAATCAGTTCTAGAAACTTTAAATGTTACTGTAGGAGTAACATTCATAGATGACATTCCGAGGAGGGAAGATCACACCCAAATAATGACACTCATCTCTGTCAATGAATTGATTGATACAAACAGGGTGATCTATTAAAAATTACAAAATATTCAGAAGGACTGTTTTGATTAGATTCAGTTGGCTATATCTTCTCCTTTTTTCTACTCTCAAAGAGAAGGAATCTAACAAGTAGTTTTCATTTTCTAGAAACTGATTCACTTGTAGTTCCATCTCTCAGTTGATAATGAGAAGCTAGTCGTTGAATTGTAAGTCAATGAAATGAGAGAAAACAGCAACTCTAGGACACTCTCTTCCTGGTGGCTGAAAGCCAAACCAGCACAGGGTTGTTTCTGAGGTGCGAGATGCTGGTCTGGTGGTCTTGCTCTTCCTTGGTTTCTAAGAACCTGGAGAAGTAGGAGATGCACCCAGCTGCTGACAACTACCCTTGCAGGAACACTCCAGAGTAATTAAAAGATTACTTATGAGCATGGTCAGTGCTTTTTAGGAACCTGGTCTAAACAAACAAACAAATTGATTGGATCAACTTCTCTAGTCTTTGAAGCCAGCTTGGCAGAACGAATGCAAAAAGTCAATTTAACATTAATTAATTCCTCATTACTCTAACAGTGGTTTGTTTTTTTTTAAAAAAAAATTAATAATCTTCTGAACTCTAAATGTGAGATATATAGTCAAAATATAGTTCAACTTATTCCAACAGGGAATATTGTGATTGCTTAATGCTAGGAAGAAATAAATATATTCCTTTCATTTTTTAAAACGGAAAATCTAGCACCAGGGAGAACTTTTTTTAAAAAAAAAAACCTCACTCTGGACTATAAAACACTTGTCCCAGGAAGTCCAGGCAACATGAGCATGTGGCTGTTTAAGCTTTCTGCTAATATTTATCACCTGGTGGCAAAGTATTTTTTTTTTAAAATGCCATCAATCCCTTCCCAAACTAGTCATGAGAAATTGATTTCTTGTGCTTACAAAAACCAAAGATATTTTTAAATTAAAAAAACTCTATCAAACTTCTGGTTATTTTTTACACTGAGTAAACTACAGAGCTGTTTCAGGCTATACAATAAAACAACAAGAACAAAAGGACTCTGGCTTCATGTTGTAATGTCAGCTTTTCACGCCTCCTAAGCGATACATTTCTCATCCTCCACCACCAAGCACACAGCTTCACTCCCATGTGAAAAGGCTTTCACTTTTTCCTAATAGATTTTCAATCAGCTTTTATATTCAGGATCACCATCATTGATTATTCCATTAGTAAACCACACATTTTCAGTAAAAAGGAACAGCTAGGGAAAGGATCCTTCTACGCAGGCAATCCTTGGTCCTTCTGAAGGACTGTATCCAGAACAAGTGAGTGTGAGGTGCCCACACCAAGGCAGGGATGTAGCTTCCTGGATGGATTCTTGTTTGGGAGGACGTGTACTATTGGACTGCAGCTACCATCTCTTTCCTGTCCTTGCTGTCCACTCAAAAGAGAAATGGCAATCCTTTTTTTATTTTCTTTTATTTTTGGTTGCAAATCCCACTTCTCTGGGTTTCTGATACATGGACAAGGGTGTTCATTCTGTGGTTCACCATTTTTATCTTTGTTTTTGTTCTTCCTTAATCAGCCTACACAGCCTCAGGCACTTCTCAAGCCAATCGATATGTGGGACTAAGTCCAAGAGACCCGTCCTTCCTACATCAGCAACAGGTGGGCGCATTCCCCCAGGTGTGACGGTGTAGCCACGCTTCTGCATAGGCGCTTCTTCTGCATAGGTGCTTCTTTCCAGGCTGTCTCTCAGCTCGAGACTCAGAACGGGGTTCACAGGGCTCACAAGACAGAAAGTAATCATCATTTTCCAAAACCTTTCCTCATCTAGCCTTTGTTTCTCGTCTCTCTGAACAAGGTTTCTCAAATTGGCTCACGACCATTTTCATCTCTGTTGTATTGAGAACATCCATGTACTGTAGTATTTTAGTCCAACAGGACAGGAGTTTTCTCCATCTTGCCAGCTATTGAAAACTTAGTAAGGTCTAATTTCAAAGACAACAGTTGAAGACTGATTTAAAAGCCAATTAGTGTAGAATCAAGACACATTTTGCATTTTTGAGCTATTTCATGCTTTCCAGATGTTCTGCTCTTCATTTTTTTTTTGTTTTGGTCAAAGGAGATGAGTTTTGAAGCCAAGATCTCAGGCGACACATTATTTCTATTTTAATAGGTTTAAATTGGTTTACTGAGTTCAGATGTGATAAAACACTTTTTCTGGGGGGGGAGGTCTGCTTTCTGACATCATTTATGTTTCAAGTAGCATTTTAAATTTCACATCTCATTAATGCTATAAATTTAATGCAAATGAAGTGTTTACCCAAAACTGTGAAAACATACAGCCCAGATTAATGGTAGCTTGTAAAAAAATAGCCACCATCAAAACCATAGACTGTACCAATTCTTCTAGAAGGTCTCCATAGCCACCCTGCTTGTGGCCACCATAACAGTATTTCGCTGTACAATGTTCAAGCCCTTCATAATTGTAGGCCAAGGTGGCAGACTGCATATATTAAAGGTCACCCTATGCCGAATTCAGAGAAATTGTAAGGATGAGAAGAGCTTCTTCAAGATGCTTGACGTTTTGCCAGATTTTTTTTTAAAAAAGCAAGACAAAACAAAAGAGTGAGAACTAACTGAAAACATCTGTACACAGTTATGAAAATACCAAATAATAATTAGTGGCTTTGCCAGCCATTGGCTTTTCAACATAATTCTCTGGAATGTTGCTTTCTTTTTTTTTTTCACCTCTAAAATTGCTGTAATATGAAATCTGTTATAATTACTATAATGTGGTTCTTTTTGACAAATGTAGTGTTCATTGTGTATGTTGTGTTGGTTTTTTTT